CCCCAGAGAGATGGATTGGCAAAGTGACAGCATCAATGGGCTCAATTGTGGCAATGATAATGAGGTTGGCCCAGGATTGAGCAGTGTTTCGTTTTGCTGTGCATATGATCACTATGAGTCAGTACCGATTCGATGGCACCTAACAACTACAAAAAATCTGTCAACATTTGATTCACTCACCCCCCATATGATGGCTCAAACTGCAGTTGCCTTGGCAAGTCCAGACCAAATGATTTTGAAGTGTGGCGCTGTAGGATAGTAGGATAAGCACTCGACTACAAGGTTGGTTTGAACCACAAGGTGGGTGGTTCAAACTCACCAGCTGCTCCTTGGAAACCCATAGAGGGTCACTATGAATCAGGACCGACTCGATGGCACTCAACAACAATGTCCCTAAGGTAGGATATTCCCCAGCCCTGCTATACAGGGTTGCTCTGAGTCAGAACTGACTTGATGGCATTGAACACATCATTTTCAGGCAGAGATTTTGGCTGGGAGCCAGCTCTGAAGCTACTTACTTATCTGGGGTGATACTTCAGGAAATTTAGTTCTCAAATTTGCTACTTATTTTAGGAAACGGATTATTTTGGTTACCTATTTTGCATCAGATTACTGGGCTAGCACTCTAGGATAAGCATTGGACTGCGAACTGCAAGGTAGGCACTTCAAACCCATCAGCGCTCCTTGGAAACATTATACAGGGTGGCTATGAGTCGGAACCGACTCTACTGTACTTAGTAACTTTGCAGCAAAACCGGAGTTGAACAGAAATGATGATATTTAAAATCACTAGGTGTTTCCCTACAGAAGTTGCACTGAGTACCAGTCTATCATCTTTTCCCTCCTTCAGTGTTCAGCCCTTTAACTTACGTAATGGAGAACCAAACAGCAGAACTTATTCTCACTTCTGCTTGAGGCTACAAGCCCTCCTTTAAAGAGGGTCAAAGAACTCTGGGAGATTATGTAAACATTTGTGGCAGATTATTCTGATGTAGTACAAAGAACTAAATACTACTATAATGTTGTTGTTGTTGTTGTTAAATGCCACTGAGTCAGTCCCAATTTATAGCCACCCTGTAAAAGATTTCCAAGGAGCAGCTGGTGGGTTTGAACCCCAACTATTGTTTAGGAGTCCAGCACTTATCCTGTAGTACCACATTACTCCCATAAAACAGTGAAGAAACAATTTGATGACTTTCAAGAAAGAATTCCAAGCGTACAAAATATCAGCTCTAAAAAGTTTAATATGGTTATGAAGATGTCAGAGTGGAAATAAATTCAAGACAAGGACACAAGAGTACCAGTAGCTTCCCTCTGAATAGTTTTATACTTTTAAACTACAACACAAATTGGAAGTGCTCAGTACAATTTCCGTTAGGAAAATTGCAGCGATGAGCTCAAACTCTCTTGGGTCCGTTTTCCAGTTAGGCAAACTGCTAGTGTTCTAGAACCTCATTTTGGATACTTAGCACCTAGCCCAACGACCCCCACGGCATTCAGTTAAGAGGAGGCTCCCAAGTTTGTGGAAAAAGTGACTAAAAGACAGTGGAATTTTTCCATGAATCTTTTCAAGTCCCTGTGTATGTTCTGTAATTCATAAGGTTTTCAGTGGCTAACCATTCAGAAGTCGTCCATCTCGTCTTCTTCCTAGTCTGTCTTAGTCTAGAGGTTCCCCTAAAACCGGTCCACCATGAGTGACCCTGCTGGTATGTCAAATACTGGTGGCAAAGCTTCCAGCATCACAGCAACACACAAGTCACCACAGTACGACAAACTGACAAATTAGTTGTGTACAGTGGTGGTCGTAGTGGTGGTATGCCACTGAGCTGGTTCCAACTCACAGTGACCCTACATAGTGTTCCCGAGGCTGTAAAGATTTATGGGAGCAGAAAGCCTCATCTTTCTCCCACAGAGTGGCTGGCAGATTTGAACAACTGGCCTTGTGGCTAGCAGCCTAGCTTGTAATCCACATGCTATCAGGGTTCACAAATACTCTAATCAAATGGGCACTTAAAATAAATTCCTATAGAGTAAGTTGTAGTTTCAACTTTGTTTAGCCTGCGTGGCGCTTGCATTGTCAGCTGATGGATGGTACTGGCAAATGCTGGGACGGCAGGAGGAGGAGGGAGAGCAGTCTATCTGGTCACTTTGTGGGAACTTGTGATTCTGTAAGTCATCGATAAGTACTCAATCTTCTTTCTTAATTCCCTATCATTTATTTTTCTTTTCCTTTCTCTCTTCGCAGCTAACCTTTGAGATGCAAAGACATGCAAAGGTAGAGAATAAAAATGCCCATCTTCATGCGAACGCTCAGATGAGAGGGACCATTGCTCTGAGCAGACGCTATAGCTAAGCACACGCTCTGTGAAGCGCAGAGCTGCACACGCAGAAAAGCGGCATGTGTCGACTTCATGAGTCAACACACACTTCACAGTAAGTGCCTTTCTACCTGGTACTCTTCCCACCCTGTATTCATGATGAGCTTGCAGAAAGGGTCAAGCTTCTAGGAAGGGACTAGACACTAGAGAGAGGCCCTTCCCTCGGTATGAGGCACAAGTTGTGAGGAGTATGTAAGTGCTGAAGTCACACATAAGAGGTGTACACACTCTTGGCAGACACTTCTTTTATTCAGGAAATACAATGTTTCCTACTGTGGTAGCTCCTGACAGAGCTGTGGGGGAGAGCATGGTCAGAAGCACTGCTCTGAAATACAGGGTAGACGGGAACCCCACTTCATAGCCTCTCTTAGACAGGCAGTACCCGACAGGCACATACATCAGGCACAGCCACTCCTGAGAAGGGCGCTTCCATACCGTTAAGCTACGGCAACTCCACTGACGCAGTCTCTTCTACTTGTGAGATCGGGAGACTGCTGTTCACATTCAGTGACTTTAATCATACTTTAGAAATCAGCTTTTCCACACTTAAGATTTACAATAAAAATAAAAGCATTTCCTTTGTAAACTATAGTAGAAAGTTTCAAATGTTTTTAAAAACTATCTTCCATACAATGGAAAAAGGCTTAGTGTTCTTCTTTTTGGGTGAAGAAGACCCAGATATGCTGCGAGAAGATGCATTGACATGTTGCTGGAGATTCGCTGGAAGCACTTCTTTGCTGCTTAGACTTGGTAAGAGAACAGAGCCACTTTCTTCCCACTGGGTTAGAAGTCCAACTTTCTCTCCCCTCAGGGTCCTCCAAGATGCTTAAGGCTGCTCTGCCGTTGCCTGGTCCTTGGCTACAACAACAAGCTCTCGGAGAGCTGGGAAGCTTTTTATGTCGCTTGTTTGCAGGCCCAGCTTCTGTATCTGCAAAGGCCATGGGAAAGGAGTTATATTACTGTGACCAAAGCTGAGAAAACAAAAAAACAAAAATCCCCGCCTCTAATCAGAAAAAAGGAGGATAGTTTTTCCTTTAGAACAAATGATTCGCTTATTGTAAAATGTTAATCTTTTAGGGTTAGAAATTTAGCATTCTAAGCAACCGGTATGTAAATTTATCTCAGCCCATCAAATTAAATGCTTACCAGAATAAGAGCCTCTTTTTTTGTGGGCTTGAAAAAAATGTTAAAAAAGAAAATTCACACTAAGAGCAATAATAAAGTGAACTCTGAACTGCCTAATTGAAATAAATTTTTAAGAAGGCAATTTAAAACAAAAGTATGAGCCTGAGCTCTAATTTCTTAACGTATCATCAACAACTTTTCTTAGAATCTGATGAATTGAAAACACTTTGGCATAGCAACTATGATGGGTTATTTTGGTAACTAAGGCCCGGCATAGTATGCTTCCAGTTTTGTTTAAAGAGAAAACACACACCCAGAGAAAGAACTGGGAAGACAAATGTCAAAGTGTTTGTTCAGGCTCTGTGGGTAGTTCTGGGGCTGGGTTATGGTAGTGCCTTGTTTTTTCCTTCCTCTCCCTTTCTTTGTGTTTCTATAACAAAACTTTCTTGCTTTTTCTTGTGAAGTAAAGGAACAAGACAACTAAATTTTGCCAGACAGATCTTGAAATTCACCTCAAAGCAGAAAATAGTTTAGATTTTCAGTCTAAGTATGAAAAATATTTAGATGACCCTGAAGTGTAAGAGATACTTCAGTCAACTAGAAAGCTACGTATTTTCTGATGGAAATTTAGGATTTCATTTCCTTCTCTCTGGAAGACCAGTTCTTCCCTTGAGAGTCTATCCCATGTGGAGAACGTGGCCAACCTCTACTACACAGGAACCACTGTAGTGCAAGTGTATCTGCCCATGTCTGCCTCGGAAGTACGCACACACATCGGCACTCAGTCATGTGTCTTGGTTCTAAAATCGGTTTCGCAGAAGGCCTCTGAAACCCAGGCAGAGATGCAGAAAAGTTACATCAGATGATATCTTAAGTACCACGGGAAGAGTAAAGCTCTTTTAAGTCAAACCAACAAATAGTTTAAGAAGACACCGACTCAGCACTGATTATGTCTCAGGTACCTTCTGGGCAGTGGACAGAAAGGAGAGCCATTTCTGTCCTTGTGAGCTAAGGGTTTAGTGGGTTTCATGAAGACGAGCACTGGTGAACAAACATGTCAACAGACTAATCATTAGTACACGAGACTTCAGCAATTTCATGGTTAGTGTTCTACATTTTCTTTTATAATCCCAAAGTACAAATTCCTGACTTTCCAAGTATTTTGGAGCCCTGACCCTTTTCTTCGTAACATCTAGAAAGTCAACTCCCTAGCGACCTGGACAGCATCTTGGCTCATAGGCAGCACCATGGAACTGCCCAACCCTCAGAGTTCACTTTCAGAGTTGCTGGAATGGTTACCTGCTCTCCTAAGTACTCAACATCTAAGGCCAACTGTAGCCGGATCTTGTCATCATCAGTCATGCCACCACTGGAGCCAACGGGGTTGGATGAGGTGGTTTTCCTAGCTTGTTTCAGTCTTTTCAGGCTCTCTTCCATTTTCTTCACGGAGCTCAGTACATCAGACACAGTTTCACAGTACCTTGACAACAAAACACATTTACTGGTGAAATAGGCATTTGTCTTTAATATGATGCATAGCAATTAACACTGTGGATAAAAAAGGTTTTGAAGATGAAAAAAATCATTTCCAATAAAGCAATCAGCCATGGTAAATATTTAATGTTTCTTAAGATTGTGAGAAAAATACAGCATCTTGGCTGACATTCTTTCAGAAACATAAGGTACGTATATGGATTTTGTTTAAAATTTTTATCCTGACCACTAAGAGGAAATCAAATTGCCTTTCATATATTCAGGATAAATATATATAGCTCAATCCCCAAATACAAATCATTTATAGCCAGTTCAAGGAACAACTTATCTCATTTTCATATGTAAAATAAAATTGCCTTCAAATTATATTTAAGCACAATTAACTTTTTACATTATAACTGAGTTATATTTCAAAGCTTTGCTTATAAATCACTTTTGGCATTTGGAATACATTTGCCCATAACAAAGTTATAAATTACTTTTCTATTATAAATTAGCCCACAATTGGTTGCTTAACTCTAAGTAGTTGAAGTAATAAAACATTATGAAATTAATAAAATTCAATTAAACTTAATCATTTTCAATATCCTCAATGTTGGTATTTAGAGAAAAGGAGTTTTAATTAGCAATGAGACATTCCACCACAGTGACTCTGAAGACTTCTTGTATTTTCAAGGGTTTTAGACACTGATTCTTTATCAGTTATAATTACTCTTCAAAAGGTAAGCTTTATCTCCCCTGATTACAAGGTCTCCCCAGCCTAACTCCTTTCAGATTGGTAGAGCTGGGGCAAGAAGAGGCATTGAGAGAAAGGTGTATGTGGACTTGATGGGGGGTGGGGGTGGGGGCACGCTGGTAAGAGCAATGAGAGGCGGTGTGCACAGAGGCAGCATGTGACCTGAGAGACTGGGGACAGGTAAACACGGGCCAGCTCGGTTGTGGTTGCCTTGCGTGTGGGGATATGGGAGAAAGCACACCTCAGTCTTCAGCATAAATGGGTATTCTGAGTCAGGCACATGCCAGAGGAAAGGCACTCTGACACACGTCCAGTGACTTCAACTACAGACAACCTGACTGTCGAGTGCCCTCTGTCTTAGGGCTCTGAAAAAGTCCCATACGGTGTGTCCTGTGAAGTTACTTACTTATGAGTGCTCTCTGAAAGTGCTCCTTCTAACCAGTGTTGAATTATTGCTTGTTTGAGCTTATCCTTGTGTTCATTCTGAAGCTGGTAAAATGGCTTCAAAGCACTGTCCACATAGGAGGAAGCTTTAGTTGGGACTTCCTGCAGGGATGTTGGTAGGCGTTAAATATGCACAGAAAACATAATGTGAAAGAACAACAGCTAATCCAACCTCAAGTTCAAAAGATTAATAAACCAGTTTTGAGGTTTTACTATAATATCGTATTGGACAGAAAGGAAAAGTTGGTAGATTATTAGAAGAAAAATAATGTATATACTGCACCATAATATAGATCTCTCTCCTCCACTTCCAAATGGGAGCTACATATCAGACCAGAAAGCACAAATTACATTTCAAGAAATGCCTGCTGACATAATAATTTTGTTGCATGCCCCCGATTTTATAAGGAAAAGGAGAAACAGCCATAAAAGAGGTTGGCTAAAATATTAGTTCACCAGTGAAGATCGACTCATTACATCAAGCGTTCTATTAGATGGAAAGACGAATGCAAACAGGTTCCAACACTTGCAGGTTAGCAAAAAGGTTGGCCCCAAAGAGCAAGATGCCTTAGGAGAGTTCCACAGTTCTCGAGAACCGTTACGTATTTTCTCATTGCTTCACTGTGGCTACCAGCAGCCATTCTACATTTCTGACACGTATTATTCTGTAGCACTGGCTGTACAACTATCACCACTAGTTGTAAACTGTCCCGCCACCATTAAGTGAAACTCAGGAATTCCTAAACCAAGACTCTCCCTATCCCTCTCAATCCTGGTAAACACTAGAGTAAACTGATCCCTGGAAATAATTATGGATAATAAATTCTGTAAAATCCAACTCTATGACTGGGAAAAAAGAAAATTTGAGAGAGAATTATGTGAAATCTACAAGGATAAAATGCGAATGAATGAATGAAAATTAAGCTCACTAGGTAAAATTTAGAACGGATAAAAACGTATTCCCCCAAATCACTGTTTTGTATATGAAAGCAGAACACTCTGAACACAAGCATGTGCTCACCTTTTCATTCTACAAATGCCTTTATTTTTTTTAAATGTAACTCTTCAAATATTATTCAAAACCAAATCAGTAGAAAGCAGGCACTTCCAATGACAATATGAATAGAACAAGGTAATTAAATTTTTTTGATATGATATATATATATAAGATATGAAGGCAAAAAATACAGGACTTTAAAATATTTTATTAAAACGCTTTCTTTTGAAAAATGTATCTTTCCTTAAGGCTAACGGAATCCACTAAATGTCCATACTATCTAAGCCCAACTACCTATGTTATATATGTATGTGGAGATGGAGATGCCAATTTCTCCTAAAAAATAAGATGTCTCTGATTGAGAAAGATTAAGCCTATCTCAGGTTATTCTTGGGAACCTAGCTCTGTCTTGACTCTAACCACTTCCTTCCTCTTTTGGCTTATCTAATACACTCAAAGATTTCCTCACCTCAAATTTTGTTTTCCAGTGAATGGCACTTACTTTATTGGTTCTCCGGTAAAGCCTTGGAACTTCCAGGGCACTCTTCAGGTAACTGAAACAAGAATCACTTAGCTCTTGAATGATCTTGTTACTCAAGGAAGGCATCCAGGCCGACAACGAGACCTGGGAGTCCTCGAGGGCTGCTGTTGAGATATACAGATTGTATTTCGTCTATTTAGGCCCAGATGTACGTTTTCCTTTACAGAACACTGTGGTATTATATATTATACTCCCTTAGTATTTACTATAGTATACTTCAGGGAGTGTACTGTAATAAATCAACTAAATTATTAGGCTTAAATTTGACGTCTCATTTAGGGAAGTTATAATCACGGAATAGAATATAGAAGCAGCCAAGGATTTACAGCTAGAGGAGAAAATGTTAATTTAATTATATTCTACAGTCTCTGAAAGTTTAAAAAGTTATATCTTACTCAAAGAATTTCTGAGTTTAATGATTCAATTTTACCTGAGATAGAAGAAAAATTCTTAAAGCCAATCATTTCAAGCTTTGGTTTGATTGTTTCCAAGAGTTCTGGAAGCTGAAATAAATTTGCATTTTATATATTCAGTTGCTTTCTATAAATCAAAGGAATAGGCAATTCAATTTGCACCTACAAACTCTAAAACAGTGTTCATGAATGGTAAAACTAAAATGGTCACTTTCAGTAATTTTCTCCAGAAAACAGCAACATTCTTAATGCTTCTACATTTACAAAATGATTTGACAACATGGGAAATAATCATTTTTAATGTTTGTCAGTCAGCACAGAGAATAAGCAAAAACATTTTTTATTCGATGGCCCTCAATAATACAAAAAAATTCTTGCTCAAAACATGTACTCTTACTTGCTAAGTACCACACAAAATATTTAAACCACAGGTAAGCAGAATGATATATCCATGGATTTAAAAACAAAATTCATCCCAAAAAATCTTTTAATGTTAAAAGGAAAAACAAAACAAGTTTCTAGACATTAAAAAACTACATGAAGAACTTTTAAGAATTTTGAAGTACAGCTACAGATTATATGGTAATATCTGACAAATCCAGTTTAAAAAAGAATTAAAATGTAACCTGCTAAAGGTCATGACTGCAAAGAATAAGCTAGCTAACAAAAAACTCACGGGAACAGTAGAACATATTACATCACTACTCAAAAGGAAGCAGAGGCGACAGGTTACTAGGAGACCAGAGCAGACTCAGATGCAGGAAAGCAGAGAGTCCACTTACACATCTCTTACACAGAGACTCTCAGCTGTGGAGAAGTGCAATGCCTAGAAAGGGAGAGGAGTGAGGCATCCTCTCTGGGGCCTCATACCACTGTCCTATCACGCCAAATGGTGTCTCCTCCTTTGTACACACTACTTGCTATGAAAACAGTGAATCTTCCAGTCAGAACTCTGGGACACAGGTTTACCTGCTCCTGAAGCTTGTCCAGGTCTGCAACCACATACACAAGGTGAGTGCTGGAAATGGAAACCAGCGTCTTCGCTTCAGAAGGGCCATTTCCTTGAGAGTCACTAGTTCCATGGGTAGTAGAGGAAGTGTCTTTGCTACCAGTCACCAAAGGTTTTTTATTATCCTTGGTGCTCACATTAGAGATGGGCCTGAGTAAAAGCTGAAAAAAGATTTTAATCATTAAACACTTTTAGATGAGCAAGATACATGTGTATTTATATACACGCATATGAGGGTCAGCACTCACCTAAAATGCCAGATTACTACAAAGTGTTCAGTGAGTACTTTTTCTACAAGGCAGGTGTAAAAAATTCTGGATGACAAAAATGTAACAGGCAAGTGGAGGACATGGCACAATGGTGGACTAGGCAGAAAGGCTGGACAGACCCTCTACAACAAAATGACCCAGAAAACCAAATGAAACAGAGACGCAGATGCTAGTCCTGGAGCCCTGAGCTTCAGCTGAAGGGATAGATATGTGGGCTGAACACTCACTGGGAGAGAAAACGGAATGGCTGAGGCACAGAAAGGAGACAGATTGAAGACCTGTGCGGGTCCACCAGCTGTGGCGTGGCTGTAGGGAGCTCTAGTGAGTGAGTGGTTTTAGAGACAAGAAGACACACTGGCATTACAGAAACATATCAGTGGCTCATGGAGATAAAGGTGTTTTTTTTTTTCTTGTTCCCCACACTCCCCTGGGTGAACAGAGGTATGGCTGGCCCCCAACCGTGTACACCCCCAGGGAAACTCCCACTCTCCTGGAGGCAAGCGCTGCAGCTCTGAAGCCCCTCAAAGGAGGGGAAGCTACCCACATGAAATCTGTTTGGGTGGGCCTTACTCCCTATCTGTAAAGCTGGCCCTGGCCAGCCCTGGACGTGTCCTCCCTAGGAGAAGCAGCTGAACAGACATGTAGGAGAAAACACAAAACAAAAGGAGATCAATGATCTGTGCAGGCCCGTGGTGTGGCCATCTTGAATTTTGTGTGATTTTGAAGGCAAGAGGGCGGTTAGTGGCACAGAAGCATACTGCTTATTGGCGGACAGGAAGGTGTGGTGATGAGAGGTGTGGTTGGCCCCCACCTGTGTCCTCTCTCAGGGAAGCTCCTGCTCTCCAGATGGGTGGAGCTGTATTGAAGGCAGTGTGGGGAACCAGTCTACACACCAGCCCTGGCACCTGGAATCAGGTGGTTCTGCTCAGTCCTGGAATAACATCCTCTCACCCTCGGCTGCCCTCTGGGGACGGAATTACCCTGACCCTGAGCTGCTTTAAAGTCTGCACAAACTAATTCTGGACTGAGGGCCCAGAAAGGGACATCTGTGGTGCTTGCTGTGGGTTAATGCACTGGACTGCCAGCTTCGGCAGTTCAATCTCACCTGTTGCTCCTTGGAAACCCTGTGCAGGGTCACTGTGGATCAGAACTGACTCTACAGCACTTAACAACAACAGGGACTCCATCCAGGGTTTAGAGTGTTACTGGCTCTCTCATTCACTGCCCACACACAACATGAAGTCCTTGCCTGGAAGGAGATGCTAGAATTCTCTCCTCTCTGGTTCTGGCACCTGATTTTTTCCATTTATTGTTTATGTATGTTTATTCTTTCCCCCTCTTCTTCTTCTCCGTTGCTGCCTATCCTTTCTAACTCCATTTTCATTTTTTCTTCTTTTTGTCTGGTTTTCTTTTCTAACTGTGACTACTGTTTTTTTTTTGTTGTTGTTGTTTTCTGTTTCTGTTTACTACTTTCTGGTCTCTTCCCCCTTTCCTCATTCTTCTTCCTAATTGTGTAAGTTTTTTTTCTTTCTTTTAGTTTTCTCTCCCTCTTTTCCCTTTGATTTTTGTACTCTTTTCCTACCTGTTGCCTGCTTTTTTTCCTTTACTATTTTCATTTTTCACTGTTGTTTGCTTGCTTGTTTTCCTTTTCTCTTGTGTGTTGTTTTCTCTTCTTGCCTCAATTGACAGGACACAGCAACTGCATCCATACAGGCCAGCCACAACCATACCCACTGCAACCCCACCCCTTGGACAAAAGTCAACACCAGCTGCTATACATCAGATCAACAACCACCACCAATCTCAGCCAGATCCACCCTACACTAAACTACACAAACATTGAACAGACAATGGTGCACATAAGCGCATCTCCAAATCACACCCACCAGGAGACAATCGGTGACTGCCTCAGCACACACCAACATACAATCATCAGCTTAATACAAATGCAATACCACAGTGTCTTGAAAGCAACAGACAGTTTCTGTTCATATGAAGAAACAAGACAGAGTGGCTCAAACAAGTGACCAAGGCAGAGCTAGAAAATGCTTTTGAGGAAAAAACAGCATCAGAATTACTTTAAAGAGAATGGTATTTAGGTATCTTCAAATGATTGACAGTAAGTTGAGGAAAAGAAGGAAGAATTCAGGAAAACACTTTAGAAACAATAAAAAAAAAAAAAAAAAGAGATGAGGAATTGGAGACAATACAGAACCTGAAAACAGAAATCGAGAACATTAATACTGAGATCTCAGAAGCAGACAATACATTGAAAGGACAAAGGAGGACAAAGGAGTAGATCTGAATCAATGGAAGCTTGAAGGTAAGTCTCTCAATTCTAGAAGAACAATTAGAAAAAAGAATGAAAAAATCTGGAGAAAGTCTAAGATTCATGTGGGACAACATGAAGAGGAATAAGTTACGGGTGATAGGATTTACAGAACAGAAAGAAATGGAGAAAAGCACAGAAAAGGCAGCTGAAGAGTTGTTGGAACACAATTTCCCTAACATCATGAAAGATGAGAAGGGAAGCAGTCAAGAAATTGAATGAACTCTAGACAGGACAGACCCCCACAGACTATCACCACACAGGCGAGAACAGTGGCGACGTGCTGGGTGTATGTGTGGTGATGTGCCGGGTGCCATGTTGGAGGGCCGTTGGCTGTGGCTTGGGGTGATGCTGGTTCTCTTGGTCACTGTGTCTCACACCCCCCCAGTTCCCTCTAGTGACTCGCCCTGGTCACCTGTTGGAGGGATGGGGGAGTGTGGGAGCTGAAGGGTGGGTTGTTCTGGTCTTGGGAAGACCTAAGGTGGGAGGCAGAGGCTGCTAGGGACCCTGGGAAGCCATGGACATTGAGAGGCTGCAGGAGGCGCTGCAAGACTTTGAGAAAAGGGAGAAGAAGGGATTTTGCCTGTCCTGTCCCGGACCCATTTCTTAGTCATGTAGCCAAGACAAGAGAAACACTGGTACAATGGCCCAATTTAAAGGCTCTTTTATTTTCAAACTGGAGATGGATGATTTCAGAACTTCAGTTCCTGAACCAAGAGCTCCTCGGAACTCTACTGTCAAATATATTACCTTTGATGAAATGATGGAAAGAATACTGAAAATTGTCACTGGATTTAATGGTATCCTGTTTACTTCAACAGCTCAACAGATCCATGGAGAAAGTATACAGGAATAGACAAATTTATCAGAGGAGCTGAAAAATATGATGGTGGCTAGCTTTGTTTATCCTTCCTCAGATCAAATTCCTAAAGTTTAAATCAAATGAATGGTGTTACATTTCCTGGAAATTCACCACGTTATAATGAGAGGTCTAATATAAATGGGCCTGGAACACCCAGGCCACTTAATGCACCGAAGGTTTCTTTGTCAGACCCCATGACCACAAATGGTTTGTTTGCCTGAGAACATGGACAGCAGAGAGTGAAACCTATGGCAAAATGAGGACAAAAACCACAGTGATTCTCTGACATCTGAATCACAAAGTTCCTTGGTCAGCCCTAAAAAAATAAAGATCCAGATGAAGATATTGATGAGGCTGAGCGGCATGAGGTAAAAAGACTCTGATCTGACAAGGATGGTGAAGAAAGAAATGGCCACAAAACTTCCAGTGAAATTTCTTTAGTTATAGTAGAAGAAATTGAAGCATGATCTTTTTTTAGAAAAAGGTAAGAAAGCACTGCATAGAAGAGGATGAAGATGAAGAAGAGTCCTTTATGATATCAAGAGAAATGGTCCCAGAGAGAAAAAAATCTGATGATGACAATATAAATCAAGAAAAAAAATCTGATGACATCTTAACTTTGAATGAAGAGACTTCCAAGGAAAATAATCAAACGAAGGCATCTGATCTGTCTCAAGTTGAGAAAGACTTACATTCATTTGTTCTTAGTGAAAATCCAGACCCTGTAGGTTGCAGTTCTGAAAGTCATGAATAAAGAATCAGAGAGATCCAACTCCACTAAAAGGAGCTCTGGTAGCGTAGTGGTTAAGAATCGGGCTGTGAACCGCAAGGTCAGCAGTTCGAAACTACCAGCTGCTTCATGGGAGAAAGATGAGGCTTTCTGCTCCCGTAAAGATTTACAACCTCGGACACCCTGTTCAGGGTCACTATGGGTCATCACTGACTCGACAGCATATAACAACAACAACAATTCCACTAAGGACCTCTGGTAGCATAGTGGTTATGAAGTGGGCTGTGAACCGCAAGGTAAGCAGTTTGAGACTACAGGAGAAGGATGAGGATTTCTGCTCCCGAAAAGATTTACAGCCTCGGAAAACTGTTCAGGGTTGCTATGGGTTGGAACCAACTCGATGGCACTTATCAACAACAACAACAATTCCAATAAAACCAGACAGTCTCTCAGAGTCATTCATGAACAATGATGAAGTCACGTAAGTCACATATGGAACAAAGCTCACTATTCACAAACATTTAGATATAGTATTTTACATACAGTTCTGGTTTTATACTATATACATTTTTTTGTATAATAAAGCAAACCTTTAGTTTTACATGAGAAGCAGGTTGTAAAAGTAAGTACTTTATGCGCTAAATCCTGAAAGAGCTGTACATGTAAGAACTGTGAATATCAGCTCCTTTGGGACCTACTTACAATTGACTCGGTGGTTTGTATTTAGATCATTTTTTTTTAAAATGTAACGTTCTTAAACTGGAAGATAATAATTATAATTTTGAAAACTTTTTTGAGATTATCATATTTAGTTTATATCTATGGAAGAAAGTTTTTGTCTTGTCTCTTTCTGATAACTCTAGCAGTTTTCATATTTTGGTCATAGTTTTAACATTTCCACATGTGAATTACAGGATTTCACATTGGTTTCCAGATTTTATTGTTAGGCTGCATACAATGGAGCAATGGAA